TCCTTCCTGAAATTCATGGGTGTAATAAGGGCTCTGGAGTCAGAACAATGGGGGGAGGGGGTTTCTTATCTGTTTCATCACTACCTGTTTTATTTTGTAAAGGAAAGTAGCTTTTCTTTGCTGCTTCCTGGAATCAAGCAGTAGAAGTGGGGTGGAAGAAATATTCTGGGCTTGGTACCAAAGGGGCAGGTAACCCTGCGTGAAGCGGGGCTGTTCACCTGTTTCCTTATTGTGTTTGTGGTACGTCACTTGATCAGATCAAATCAAATCTGCAAGCAGCTTGCAGGGTAAAAATGCACTGGACTGTCTGGCACTGTTTAAAAGCTGGCTGGAGACAGAAGTAACGAAATGTGCTAACGAAGGACCTGGCAAACAAAGCCATTTCACGCACACACACCCTCCCCAGATAAAGTCATCCGGGCAGGAGGAGCCTTCGCTGCCACCCCTGAGGTGGAAAGCCCTCAATGTGATGCGACCCGGCAGCCTTGGGTTGCCTGGTTTCAATTTCCCTTCGCCTTAAGGTTTCGATAATACGACAGGGCCAGGTGTGTGAATCCACATTGGGCAGCGAGACCGAGATGGTTCTCCTGGGGAGTTTCAGTTTTCCTTTTTAAAACAAGAAGCTGATGCTCATTCCCCCCGGATAAACACAAAATGTTCCTGGTGGAAGCTGGCAGGCGGGCGCCTGCTGGTCTGGGGCCAGGTTCCCCCTTTGGGGTTTTTCTTTGGCCACCCCCCTGTGGCTGTTGGGAGTCTGGTGCTGGGCTCTCACCTGTGCTTTGGCGTCTTGGGCTCCCGGTTGTCCCCAGGCCTTGCCTCTGGCCCATCCCCGTCCCTCTCGGTTGTCCCTTAACCTCGCCAGCCGACAGAGCTAAAAACAAGGCTGGAAACGTCCGGGTCCCTGGGTTCCCCTAGTTTTAAAGAGTGTTTTTGATGCCTGGTGTGGGCAGGGATCTAACCCCGTCAAACCAGAAGGACTGCATACCTTCAGCAGCAGCCGCCTCCCCTCTCTGCGCCCCTCCAGGGACTAGTTTTATCTTGTGGCCCATCTCCTCAGCAGCCCAGGGGGCCGGATGGGGCCCGCAATGGGGAAGGGGGACCAGAGCAGGATTGGGAGGGGATTCTGGGCTTCCTCTTTGCAGCCGAGCTGCAAAAACTCTTCCTCTCTGAGATTTGGCCACCGGCACGTAGAGATGGATATTGAAACTGCCTGTTGTTGCAGGCAGGCCTCCCGTCCCTGGCCACCAGAAACCCCAGGTCTCGGCGTCTGGGCTTTGATCTCGGGATTGTAGCCTACAGCTCAGACATGGAGGCACATCGAGCTGTTTTTTTAAAAAGGAGGTGTGTGGGGGGGCTCCATGTGTTCCTCAGTTCTGTACAACGAGTCTGCCCTAGATTTTCCCGGTCATTGCACCAGGGGGCTTTGTTTCAGGCAGAGTTGCTCACACACGCTTTTTAACAAGGCTGAGTTCGTTCTGACCTCTGGCCCCTGGGGGGAAGCAAGCCACATCGGCCACCCTCTGGGCCTTGACACTCCCCGGCCCGCCCTGGCCCATCTCCCAAGGGCTCCTGGGCCTTCCTGCTTCCCGGTCCACGGTGCGCCCTTGATAGTTGCTGGTCCAGACATGGTGTGGGCAGAGAAGACCAAGGGGGAGGTCCTGAGAAGAAAGCCATGCCCATTTTCCTGTGGGGTGTGAAAGGTGGGCCAGCCAGAGACGTAGTTGCCCAGTGGATCTCTTGTGCCATGTCTGAGGCCTTTGCCCTTAGAGGTGGGTTGGGGCGAGAGAAGGGGGGAGCCCCCTCTGGACTCTGAAGAGCATGGGGTCTAGCAGGGGCATTCAGAGGGGGTGGCGGCCTAGGGCCTTCCAGGCGCCCCTTGCCATCTTCTGGCACCAGCAAGGGTCCAGTCCACCAAGTGTCTCTCTCTTTCTGTCCTTCAAAAAAACCGTAAAGCTAAACTTTACTTCTGCCAGTCACACTCTGCCCCTTGCTTCTTAGTCTGTGGTTGATTCTGTGGTTAATTTGGAGAGGGGGAAGAAAGGGGGTGCCTGTTTGGGAGATCGAGCTTCCTCCTGTATTTCTCCCCCCCCCCCCGGCAACCCTTGCTGCTTCGTTTCTGGGTTGTCGTCGTTTTGTTTCCACAGCCTCTGGGGAAGGTTTTGCCAAACGCTGTCAACTTACCTTTTCTTCTCTTTTCTCTTTCTCTTCCAGCGGGGATCTGACGAACTTTTTTCTGCCTGTGTCACTAACGGACCCTTTATCATGAGCAGCAGCTCTGCCTCTGCAGGTAACTTTGCCAGCCCCACACTTTTCCCCATGGTAGTGGGGGGCCAGCCCCATCCCATCTCTCTTGAGAGCCCCTCTGGGCAGATGCTCCGCTTAGCCTGACCCGAGAGCAGCTGCAGTGTGTGTGTGTGTGTGCGTGCGCGCCTGTCTGTCTGTTTGTCTCCCTCCCTAGGGCAGGAACCCATCTCCCCCTCCTTTTGCTTGGTGTGTGAACACCCAGAACCTTTGCTTGGTCAGGGTTTCGTGGTGAGGGAGTCTCTCCTGCCCAGCAGAGGCAGGCGGGTAAGCGGTGCGGCCTGTAGGGGAGACACAGAAGAAGGAGAAGCCCTGGGACCTTCTAGTCCACCCCCACCTGCGAGCCTGGAGTGCCAAGACCCTCTTGAGTCTTGAGAGGATTTGACAGAAAGGGGTGTGTGATTTTTCTGAATCTGTTGGTCTGCTGCTCAGCTCCCTCCCTCCCCCCCAGCACTCCTTGATTCCTGCCAAAGGGCTTTTCCCCACCGGCCATCACCTTTGCCTTCTTGGCCTGCAGGAATGATCCACCTGGAGCCCCCGCGTGAGTCTGCTTTCTCCCCCAAAACACTCCGATGGGCCGGACTGGCCTGTCCAGGGTGGGCGGAAGTGGGTCTCCGAGGGGTGGCCCCATCTGTAGAACGCCTTTGCAGATGGTTGGTCGGTCAGGGTGGCCTTTGCCAGCACCAGAGGGTTGGGCCCATGAAGACAGTTGAGCTGTTGAGTTTGGGGAAAAGGTTGGCTTTTCTTTGCCTCTGTTCCTGTCGTGGTGATCAGCTGCAGAGCTGGGGCGTGTCTTGTCCTTGGGAAAAGCTTTCCGAAGGGCATGAAGTAGCGGTTCGTCAGGAGAGTCTGGCACACAAGCAGGAGGTCAGCTGCGCAGCCGTGCATGGCATCTGGGGTGGGGCTTGGGCTGGGCTCATGGAAGCCACGCGAGGAGGCCACGCACTGCCTGATCACTGCACCAGCGCCTTGGGCAAAGGCCATCTGCGGATAGGCGCCATTTCAGCAAAGCTGTGTGCCATTGCCCTGTGCCGGCTGGTCCTGAGAACACCCTCCTGTGCTGGTCCCGCGGCCTCTCCTCCTTTGCCTACTGGGTGCGGGGGGGGACTCATGAAAAGCAATCCAAGCAATGGGTCGCAAGGGCTCAAGGATGTGGTCTGGCCTCAGCAGGAGAGCAAGGACGCTTTTCTGTGGCAAAACCATTTTCCCAGAGCAAATACCTGATTTTTTTTAAACTTGTGTTTCCTTGAGTTTGTTAGTGGTGTGGAATTCCTGCCCAGCAAGTAAGAACAGGCTGAATCGGATGAGTTTCTTTTTAGCGCCTCGGGGGTGTTACTGACAGCCTTGTTCTCCAGGTTTTTCTTGAGAACACGCATCACGCCTAGTGTCATAAATTCATCAATGCGATAAAAGAGCTGTAGATCAGGCCAGGGTGCTCAGCCCTTGTAAAGCAGAACTGGCTGCACTGGGCCCCAGTGGCTTCCACTCACCACCCTGTGGGCCACCGAAGTGAAATAGAGGTGGAGTGAGACGTGTTCAGCAATGGGAATGTGGTTGGGTGGGCGTGTTCCTTGGCCTCGGTGTGGTTGGTCCAACTGTGGGAGGGTGGCCCTTCTGCCCTTTACGGTTAACAGCTTGCAGGTTTACGTGTGCAGCAGGATCCTCCTTAAGTTCCCCTTTGCCCTGCTGTGAAAATGTGCTTGCGTGCGCACATAGCTGGAGGACAGGACCCAGTCCAGGTGACTGCCTGACTTGGAAACGGACCTGGTTCCATCATGTGGATGGGTGGCTGGAGGGGCCGGGGGGGTAATCAGAAGGAGGGGTTGCCCCCTGTCAACGGATGGTATGCTTCAGGAGCAGAAGCGGTGAATGGATCATGCCCTCCAGTGGCTCGGGTGTTCAAGAAGGACTTGCGATTTGGCCCAGGAAGGTTGCGCGCCCTCCTGCTGCCGCCTCCTTCCCGGAGCGTGACTGGGGCCTGCCTCTGCTCTCTTTCTCAGCCAATGGAAATGACAGCAAGAAGTTCAAGGGAGACAGCCGGAGCGCCGGGGTGCCCTCGCGGGTGATTCACATCCGGAAGTTGCCCAGCGACGTGACGGAGGCCGAGGTCATCTCCTTGGGGTTGCCGTTCGGCAAGGTCACCAACCTCCTCATGCTGAAAGGGAAGAACCAGGTGGGGGCCTGTTCTCTCCTCTCACGGGGGGCCATCGTTTGGCCATGCTGGGCGGAAGATCCTTGCCGGGGGATCCATAGGGGCCTGACCTCTCGGCTGCCCTTTGCCCCCCCTTCCAGGCCTTCATTGAGATGAACACGGAGGAAGCGGCCAACACCATGGTCAACTACTACACCACCATCACCCCGGTCCTCCGCGGCCAGGCCATCTACATCCAGTTCTCCAACCACAAGGAGCTGAAGACGGACAACTCGCCAAACCAGGCGGTGAGTCACCTGGGGGCCAGGGTGAGGCCCTGCCCAGGCCCACCTTTTGCAGCTATCCATGGGCTATGGCGCAGCCTGGCTGAGGAGGAGGAGGGAGCCGAGAGCCTCGGGTGGGTGGGGAGGCGCAGGGCTAGTCCTCCCAAGGGATCAGGTGGGCCTCTGGAGGAGGCAGAGTGGGCCAAAGAGGCAGAACTGGGGTGGGTGGGGGTCATGGCAGGGGCATTGGGTCCCAGGCCCTTGCGCGGCAGTCCAAAGCAGGCGAGGCAGCAGCAGCAGCTGCTGTTCTCGGTTTGTTGCTTCTCCTTCAGGAGAGCTTAAAAAGGGAGGAAGAGAAGGGGGAGGGAACGGGTCTGAGTCTCCTCCTCCGCCCAGCTGAAGCCCGCTTTCCTTACCTGATCCCTTTGGCCCCACAGCGCGCGCAAGCAGCCCTCCAGGCGGTCAACTCGGTCCAGTCGGGTAACCTGACACTCTCCGCTTCTGCCGCGGCGGCAGTGGACGCCAGCATGGCCATGGCGGGGCAGAGCCCGGTCCTGAGGATCATTGTCGAGAACCTTTTCTATCCCGTCACCCTGGATGTCCTGCATCAGGTCAGAGGCAACCTTGGCCGGTGGGTTGGTAGGGGAAGCTTCGAGGGGGCCTCTCGGGTGAGGGGAGCTGATTGTGGTTTTTGCCCCCCCCAAAAAAAGCAGGCATGATGACCTGTGCAACATCCCCATTGCTCTTGTGTATCTTTTCCTTTCTTTTGTGAAATGAGCTCCGGCCAGGTTGGACAGTGAGAGCCTTAAATCTTTCTCGTCAGCCCTGCTGAGTCTTGGTGGCCCCCCTGAGTTTCCACGTTGGCAGGAAGGCAGGATCAGCTCTAGACAGACCCAGCTATTGGGGAGGGAGATAGTTTATGAAGAGCGGGGGGGTGTGATGTCCATGGGAGCTTCTCCCGCTCAAGAACTGGAGGGACTGGGGTGGCCGGTCTTATTCTGTCCGGCCTCTGGTGCCCTCTGGAGTCGCCCGCTGAGTAGGAGGAGTGTGCCACCTGGCGCGCTGTGCCAAAGGGTTCCTGCCCTAACAGGGAGGGGGGACCCTTCTGCTGTGAGCCTGTAAAGGCAGCAACCGGGCAGGGGGAATGGGAACCCTTCCTGGCCCTGTCGGCAGCAGGATGCGTGTGTGTGTGTGTGGGGGGTCAGCGAGGGGAGGGAGGCGCTCCTTCCTCCTCCTCCCCTCCGCCGCTGCCGAGAGGTCCTCGTGTGACTTTCTGCCCTTGCTCTGCGGGTCCCCAGATATTCTCCAAGTTTGGCACCGTCCTAAAGATCATCACCTTCACCAAGAACAACCAGTTCCAGGCCCTCCTGCAGTACGCCGACCCTGTCAGTGCCCAGCATGCCAAACTGGTGAGTCTTGGGGAGGGCAGCAGAAAGAGAGCCACCTTCCGGAGGGCAGAGGGCAGGGCTGGTGGAAAGAGGAGGGACCCCCTGGGTTGCAGAAGCCAGCGGTTGAGTGGGGTGGGCAGTGACCCGGGGGTGTGTGTCTGTGGAAGGCAAACCTGCCAGGGCAGGGAAGCGGAGGGGGAACGGCCTGCTCTCTTCCGCATGGAGATGATGGAGGAGGATGTGTGTCTGCTTTGTCATCTTTCTCTCCCCCCGCGCCCGGCAGTCCCTGGACGGGCAGAACATCTACAACGCCTGCTGCACGCTGCGCATCGACTTCTCCAAGCTGACCAGCCTCAACGTCAAGTACAACAACGACAAGAGCCGGGACTACACCCGGCCGGACCTGCCCTCGGGCGACAGCCAGCCCTCCCTCGACCAGACCATGGCCGCCGCCTTCGGTAAGGAGGGCGGGCCGAGTGTCTGCGGAGCCCTGGGGGGTGGGGTGGGGACCACCAAGCAGTCCATCTCCAAGGCCCGCTGCTTTGCCTTCCTTTCACAGGAGCCCCAGGCATCATCTCCGCCTCTCCCTACACGGGGGCCGGCTTCCCTCCTGCTTTTGCCATCCCTCAAGCCGCAGGTAAGAGCCTCTTCGGGGGGGGGACGGGGTGTTCTAAAATAAATGCACGGCTTCCCCTTCTTCCTCTTTCTCCCCCCCCCCAACACTCTTTGATTAATTGCAATTCCTCCACCCCACCCCACTCCATGGAGCTGACGGGAGGGTCAGCAAGCGAGAACCTCCAGGGCCCAGCCTGGGCTCTCACCCTCCGGGAAGCGTGTTCTCTAAGCCTGGGAGAAGTGCCCCAGAGCAGGTGGGGGGGATCCAAACCCTTCCTACGAGAGAGCCAGGGATAGACACGTGCTTTGGGCACATCCTTCTCTTCCCCCCCCACCCCGGGACCCTTGGCACCTCCTGCCCCGAGGGGTGGGGGCTGTCTTCTAGGTGGGTGCCTGAGGGGTGTCACGGGCGGGGGGCCCGTTGCCTGCTGCATGAAGTGACCGGAATGTGCACATCTGTGGTTCGGGGTGTGGTGCATGGTTAAAACGTGGCATGCGTTGTTGGACAGGCCCGAGGAATGTGCAGCTTTGTGTGTGTGTGTCCCGTTCCCCCCCATCTGACCTGGCCCAGGACCAAGGAGAGCAAAATGCGCACACACACAGAGCAGCTCTAGCCGCCATCCCCTCAAGACTGGAAGCCCCCTCGGGTCCCTTTCACGCTCTGTACGTGGGAGGCCCCTAAGGGAGCCCGCCCGCCCACGCCCCTGTTTCTCTGCCCGGGCAGGGAGTGTCTCTGCCACTGTTGACATTGCCGGTTAATGTGCTTTAATTTTTCCAGGCCTTTCCGTGCCAAACGTTCACGGAGCCCTGGCCCCCTTGGCGATTCCGTCTGCCGCAGCCGCCGCCGCTGCCGCAGGGCGGATCGCGCTCCCCGGCCTGGCCGGGGCAGGGAACTCCGTCCTGCTGGTTAGCAATCTGAACCCGGAGGTTAGTGGAAAAGCCCTTCTCGCGCTCTCTCTTCCTCTTCAGCTGAACCTCTGTCCTTCGGTTCCTTGTTCTTTTTTTAAAAAAAATTACGATGATGATGATGATTACTTTCCTCCTTGTTTTGCTTCTTCCCAGTGACTTTCCGATCTCACTTCACTTCTCAGAAAAATGCCCTGTGCCCAACCTTTTGCCCTCTTGAGAAAGTCCGGCAGGGGAACCCTGGGGGGGTTGTGGGGGGGCACTGACAGGGGCCTCCTAGAAGCCACAGCCTCTTTCTCAGGCGGCGCTTGCAGGCCAGAGGACAGATGCCCACTGGGGTTTCCGGATGCTACTTGTGATAGGAGCCTCTACAGTTTTGCCTCTCCTGGGGCTGCTTCCTTCACCACTGTAGGACTGGGGGGCCCCCCCGCGCACCTCATCTTCTCTGGTGTTTTCTCCTTGGGTGTGGGGTCCCCTTCCTGCCCCCCGTTCCCAGTTGGAGTGACAGGGCCTCTTCTGTCCTCTTCCTGGGTGCTGGCTAAACTTCCTCCTGCCCCCCACCCCGCAATTTTGCATCTCCCATGCCCTGTGTTGGATGCCTCGATTTCCCCCTTTAGCCAGAAACCTTTTGAGTTGTTGTGTGCCTTATTTTTCCTGCTCTTTTAACTTCTTGAATATTTTTTATGTTTTTTTCAGTTCCATTTTAACCTTTTCTTCCCTGCAACCCCACCTTTTGAGTTGAGGCCTTGTTTGGGGCACAGGGTGGGGTGGGGTGGACAGCTTGCCAAAAGGACTCGAGGCACATCGAGGATTTGCCGCGAGGATTTAAATTGGCCTGGCCGCTGCGGTGGGAGATGCCTTCCCCCATGCAAGCCTTAAAGGGCACGAGGGGCTCTCCCTCCCTGCCTGCCTGCCTGCCATGGGTCGCGGGGCCCCCCGGCTCAGCTGAGGCCTCCCTGCAGGAGAGAGCGGGCTAGCTGCAGGGACTGGCCGTGGCCGCGCTGGGAGCTCCTAACGCAGAGGCATGGATGAGAGCATCACTGTCTGTTTAACCCGTTTTTAATCTGGATCTGCTGTTCCTTGTTCTGTCGACAGCACCTTTTTCTTTTTGGGGCACGATGGGTTGCCAGCCACGCTCGCTGTCTTGCCTGCCCCTGTCCTCAGCATGATCCCCATGCCCCCTGTGCCCCCACCCGCTTGGGAGGGCTCCATTTCTGGAGCGGTTCCTCCCTGCTGGGGAGAGTCCAGAGAGGAGGAGGGGATGTTCCCGAGCCTTGGTTTAGGGGCCAGGAGGGAGGTGGGCACGGGGTGGCCATCCCACCCAGCCACTCTGGGGGAGAAAAGGCCGGACCTGGGATGAGTGGTTCTGAGACTCTTTCCCAGAGGGAAACGGCCACATGTATCTGGATTAGCTCCGGGTGTCTCTTGGGGCTTCCTTGGCCCCAGAGGGGGCAAAGGAGTGCCCCGGGTTGCTCTGCTAGGCAGGGCCGCCTCTCGAACTCTGTGCCTGGTCTCGGAGGCGCACATGGTTGGGTCCCTTGCCAGGGTTCAGAGGGGATCCCCACCCCAGCCGCCCGTGGTGCCAGCGAGGGTGGCTGCCCGACATGTCTCATGCCCCTTGTGTGTGTGTGTGTGTGTGTGCGCGTGTGTGTATCGCTGCGGATGCTTGGTTGTGTTTTTCCCTCGCTCGCTCGCTCGCTCCTGCTTTTCTCTTGGGCTAGAAACTGTGGTACCTGTAGTAAAGCTGAACTAATGACTTCAACTTTTGGTTTCTCCATTGCTTGTGTAATCAGTGTTGTAGAGAACTTAATCTATGCATATGCCTGAAGGGGCAGTATGTTCTCCAGAGGGACCTGAGCCTCCACCGGCCACCAGGAGAGGGAAGGCCGTGTCCAGCAGCGGGAGGGCCCCTGGGGGAGGTGGCCGGATGGGAGGAGGTGTGTGGGTTGTCCCCCTTGTGCTGGGTGGCCTCCTCCTGGTCTGGCTCACCACGGCAGTTTTGGCAAAAGGGAAGCTTTTGTGGACCCGGTCAGGCCCCATGAGACGTCCGCCCCTCTTTGGAGAAATGTCCCTTGGCTTGGCTCACCAGTCCACAAGGAGGGCTAGAGGGATTCGACAAGAGGAGCAGCCATCCTGCCGCGCTCAGGAGTGCCCCTAAAGTGCACCTCCTTCCTGGCCCCGCTCAGCTTGGCCATTGAGCCTGGTGGGATCCTCGCTGGCCTTTAGAGGGGCTGCTGGGGGATCCTCCCATCGGGGCGGTGTGGGGCTCTTGGTGGCCCTTTGGTGGTCTTGGAGGGTCAGCAGAGGCTGTGGCTTGGCTAGGCCAGTTGCCCCTCTGCTGATCCAGAGGCAGGCGGCGGCTTCCTGCTGGGTGGAAGGCACTACTCGTGAAACGGGGAAACGGGCTTCTATTCTTCAGATAGCCACTGCTCCACTGGAGAGGCTCAAGGAGCGTCTCGGAAGCTTGGCAAGAGAGGAAGGGAGGAACGCTCTCCGATCCGGGCCTTGGAAGGCCTGGGCCGCTGCTGGCCACTGTGGGTTTTGAAAAGCTCTGCAGGAGAGGAGGCGACGAGATACTTGCTCCAGGCGGGGCCCTCCCTCGTCAGCCCTCCAGGAGCTGCAGTCCCTCGGCCCCCGTCACTGGGTGCTGCTGGTGCTCTGGGTCCCTCTGGAGTGATGCTGCCTCTTCCCTCTTAGGTAGACCTGACTTGAGTAAAATGCTCTCCTTTTTATTGTTCTGTTTCACTAGGTTTTTTAATTTTATTTTTAAAAAGCAAAACGAAACCCTAATAACTAGTTCTTTCTGTAAAAAGTGTGTTTGTGCGTTTTAGAAAACTAGAAATCTTTACTGATGGAACACTACATATTTCTTTTATGTATTTACTGACCTGTGTTTTTTTTGCTACTTTTTTTTCCTCCCTTTTCTCTCTCCATCCCCCTTCCCTCCTTATTATTTTTTTCTCCTCCCTCCCTCCCTGATCCGGAATTTCTTTGCCAACTGACTGCACGGTACCCTTCTGCTTCCTGTTGTTGCTTTGAAACAAAAACATGTATATATATGTATATACATATATATAAATGCATATATATATATATGTATATATTTTTACAAAAAAAAACACTCCCCTCAAAAACCAAACCAAAATCAAACAAACAAACAAAAAAAACCTTCCTGTGCTCCTTCGGAAACCAACCTGCCCTCCAATATTAACCACCTTGACAACTTCATCATCCATCAACCAATGTCCACCATTTCCTGTCGGGGACTCTCGCCTTTCCTCCGTGGTCAACCTGCGACTCGCGCCACCTTCGCTCTCTTCCTCCGATTCCTTCCCTCTTCCCTTCTCCCTTCGCTGCCTTGCCTCTGCTGTCCTCTCAAAGAGAGTTACGCCCCAATGCCTCTTTATTCTTTTCGGTATGTTATCATTCACACTTTTTTTATTACCTTTCCCCCCACCCCACCCCTTCCATTTTGAGGTTTTTACTTTTGGGGAGGGAGGGGTGGTGGGGGGAGGGAAGGGTTTGGTTCTGGGCGGAGGAGGGAGGGCCACGTGCCACTTTGGCCGAACGCTTTAATGATCTTAAACGTGTTCCTTTCGTTTGGTTTGGTTGCTTTTTCTCCTCTCCATCCCCCCCTTTTTTAATTTAAATTTTTTTATTACACCAGCTCCATGCATGGTTTGGGTTGCTTTGCATGCCTTTTTTTCAGGGGGGGCAGGGAGGTCAGGGTTAGGGCGCGCCGCGATGGGTTGGTCTCATCCTGGCCATAGGCATTCCTGCTGAGGGGGGGTTGTAAGGGGAGCACCAGTGTTTTCAGACTCTCTTAAGGATTATCCAGCGCTGTCAGGCTTTAGTAGGGTTGCCGTTTTAGCGCTGCCGTGCTGTAACGTGGCACGCGCCAGTCCAGAGCAGCATAGCTGATGGGGGGGAAAGAGGGGAGGGCCCGACTGCCCATGGGAATGGGGTGGGCGGATGGGTGGAGCCGGAGGGGGTCTGGTTGACATGAATTTGGGCCGAAGGGGCTGGCCTAGTTCCCTGAAGACGTCCCTCTTTTCCCTCCCCGGCCGTGGCTCCAGGGGTGTACGGAGATGTCCAGAGGGTGAAGATCCTCTTCAACAAGAAGGAGAATGCTTTGGTCCAGATGGCCGACGGCAATCAAGCCCAGCTGGGTGAGTGGGAGGATGATGATGATGATGATGAGGGGCCCTTGAGCGTTGTGCTGTGACGGGCCACCACACACCGGGGCATCGCCTTCCCCACCTCTCCCAACTGGCTGAGCCGCCAGCGGCCGAGGGAGGCCTGTTCGGGGCAAGCCTGTCTTTGGCCACCCCAGAGCCGCCCAGCAGGAAGTGTCCAGTTTGGCCCGAAAGGAAGAAGGTGGGCAGGGGGGAGAGGCAGCCATGCGGTATCAGTCCCTTTTAGGAAAACCCTCCTGGTGAAGGTGGCCGAAACCGGCAGGATCAGGTTGGGTGGGGGTGGGAGCTACCTTGGAATCGCCCCAGGCCGTCTCTCCGGGGAAGGGGTCCAGGGGCCTTGTGGGGGGCGGGATCAGCCTCAGAACAAGAGAGCTGCATTGCCTCCCCCCCCCCCACCAAGCCAGCCTTTTTTGCTTTCTCCTCCCCAGCCATGAGCCACCTGAACGGGCAGAAGCTGCACGGGAAGCCCATCCGCATCACGCTGTCCAAGCACCAGACGGTGCAGCTGCCCCGGGAAGGGCAGGAGGACCAAGGGCTGACCAAGGACTACGGCAACTCCCCGCTGCATCGCTTCAAGAAGCCCGGCTCCAAGAACTTCCAGAATATTTTTCCCCCCTCGGCCACCCTGCACCTCTCAAACATCCCGTGAGTCCTGGGTCTGGGCCCCAGAGGCTTCGCCTGCGTGTCCCCTGTGTGTCCCAGCGGGGGTCTCGAGGCCACGCAGGCGGAGGGCAGCAGCTGGCCTTTGCTCCCTCCGAAAGGGCAAGGAGGCCCCTGGCCACGAGAGGAGCTTCCGGCTGGCCTTGCCTGCCTGCCTGCTTGTGGTTCCCCTGGTCGATCGTGTTGGGGGTTAGGCCCCTTGCCCCACTGCGAGGGAGGACCCGGGGCCCTCTGCAGCCAGACAGCTGGTGCGATCTGGGGAGCCAGAGGGCGGGAAGGCCTGCCCGGCCTGCCCACCTTCCAAGGGGGTGTGGTGGGGCGTGGGTCAGCACGAACCAGGCCTTTCATCACCTTTTTCTCCTCCCTCCCCCCCAGGCCTTCGATCGTGGAAGATGACCTCAAGTTGCTGTTTTCGAGTAATGGAGCTGTCGTGAAGGGCTTCAAATTCTTCCAGTGAGTCTGGATCCCTTCTCAGGCGGGTTGGCGGGGGGAGGGTGGTGTTTTAAACCCTTTTGGGTCCACAAAGGTTGGGGGGCCTGTGAGATCGCGGCAGGACCGGACATGAACCACATAGAAGGCAAGGAACTCTCCCTGACCTGTGTGCCTGTCCACCCTTCTCCGCCCTTCCTTCCTTGACCGCTCAGGGCTTGTATGTCTGTCTGTCTCTGGCAGGAGGGACCGCAAGATGGCCCTCATCCAGATGGGCTCGGTGGAGGAAGCCATCCAATCCCTGATTGACCTGCACAACCACGATCTGGGGGAGAACCACCATCTCCGCGTCTCCTTCTCCAAGTCCACCA